TAGTAACATGGCTGCCGCGCGCTGGACTAGCTGAAGCTTCCGGGCCGTCTTCAAGGGCAGCCCCACGTAGCAAATGTTCTGTAACAGAAACTAGAGCTGATGTGATCTATCCAATGCAATTTCCTGAAGCAGCACCCCAAATAATCAAACCAAATCTAAAGTTGACCAAAAACCAATTCGTAACCCTTTTGGTACTAATGTTGGAAAGTGGTCCCTGGTCAAAAACAGATTGGGAGCCACTGGTGTAGAACCATAGGAGATGGTTTAAAAAGTCCTTAGCCTTCTCTGCCAAAGAGTGCTAGTGCCTCACCTAACCACAAACACCACGATTCAGTAATATTGAGCCATGACAGTTAGTATAGTACTAAGGTCCTAAAATAAGGTCCATGGTTCTAGATTATTTAATGTGGGTTTTTTGTGGGTAAGCAGATGGCAACTACTGGATAGCAAATGTTCTGTAACAGAAATTAGAGCTGATGTGCTCTATCCCAAATAACCAAAGCAAAACTAAAGTTGACCAAAATCAGATTCGTAACCCTTTTTGGTACTAATGTTGGAGAGTGGTCCCTGGTCAAAGTGGTCCCTGGTAAAAAAAAGGTTGGGAATCACTGGTGTAGAACCATGGGAGATGGTTTTAAAAGGCCTTCTCTGTCAAAGAGTGCTGGTGCCTCACCAAACCACAAACACCACAATTCAGAAACATTGAGCCGTGGCAGTTAATGTGGTGCTAAACTCAATTAAGTCTCTATTCTAAGACTGAAGACTTCCCAGATAGACTGATGGCTGCCATACATGCTATTACTCTGGAAACAGCCTTGAATTCCTGCTCAATGATGGAAACCCACTAGATGATCTTGTCAGGATTATTTAGTTATGCATGTGTGTTTTTCAACGTGTTTCTATGTAATTCAAGATTGATTAAGATGTATTTCAAAATGGATTCTATTCTGTTCTTTTGTGTATTAAGAGAACATAGTGCTGAGGCAGAGAAAACGTAACCTTGACAGAAATGAGATAATGTGGCTGGGAAGAAAAGGGAGGATCTGGTCTCAGCCAGAAGTTTTCTGTTGTAACTAAAAGCTTGCAGAGTCCTGATTTCTGAATGCAGTGTCTGTTGATCTAACAATCCCTCCTCTGGCAAAGTTTCAATATTCTGACAGATCTTGGCCAAGTCACACTCTTTCAGCCTCAGTGGAAGGCAAAGGCAAACCTTTTCTTAAGAAATTCTACCAAGAAAACACCATGATAGGTTGGAAACTACTTGAAGGTCCACAACAAAAGACAACAATACAGTAGAGTCTCGCATATCCAACATAAACAGGCCATCAGAACATTGGATAAGCGAAAATGTTGGATAATCAGGAAGCATTAAGGAAAAGCCTATTAAACATCAAATTGCTTATGATTTTACAAATTAAGCACCAAAACATAATGTTTTGCAACAAATTGACAGAAAAAGCAGTTCAATACACAGTAACATTATGTAGTAATAACTGTATTTTCTAACTTAGCACCAAAACATTGCAATGAATTGAAACAACTGTGGATCCGAATGAGAGGCAGACTACGTTGGATAATACAGAAGGCTGGATGAGCAAAGGTTGGATAAATGAGACTCTGCTGTACTTGTGCTTTCCTATTTTGGATCAGTGGTTGGAGCAAATATGCTAGTATGGTCTACCCGAGTTGGGTATGCACTGTCTATTATACTTTTCAGTGGTAGGATCATTAGTCGTAGTGATTGGACTCCTGTTGGGATCCCAAGAGCTATAGCAGATAGGTAGTGTTTGTACTACTTGGTGATGGATTTGTACCCTACCAAATTCTTACCTCAAGTCAATCAGTGCTGTGTTTACTTCAACCCATGTCTTCTCATAGTATTGTGATTTCTTCCTCTGTGCTGCTGGCTTAGAAAGTGACTGTTGCTGTATATGTAAGCACAAAGCTAGGCCTGGACAATATTTATGATGGGCTTACTTTCTTGTTTGCAGGTGCTGACACCGCATCCACCACCGAGGCTCCAGTCATTGTAATTCCTCCTCGTAATACAAGTGTGGCAGCTGGGAGTAATGAAGCCGTCCTGGAATGTGTGGGCAATGGCAGGTAATGGAAAAACACAGGGGTTCTGTTCAATTAAAAGCACTAATATACTGAAGAGAATGCCCGGGTCGCTCTTTATCGGGACATGGGGAATATGGATCTAGTTAGGGGAATTTTGCTATTATTTATTTATTTATTTACTCCTTTTGTATACCGCATTTATCAGCCTTACGGCTACTGTCGCCGTTCCCTGAGAGAAGAGTAAGATTACTCTTAATAATTACCAAACTGGGTTGTAATAAAAATAGGGTGTGCCATTCAGTGGTATTTTTGTTGGTTTCTTTGTTTGCTTGTTTGAGTTTTCCTTTAATGTTACTGCGATACAGGTTCCTTCATGGCTTGGGAGAGTGGTTTGGAAAAAATAATTGTATTATTTACACAGAACTACAGAAAAATCAAAAACCCAAAGTCATCTCGAACACTGTACGTGACAGCTCTACAATGCTAGCATTTGTCATTGTGTGACTTCTGCTTACATTTATAGGTCCTTGACCCATATGTAAGCATGGGGAAGCTCTTTGGGTAATGCAATACTGTTAAACAAAGCCTGGAGACCTAGATCTTTTCCTTATTACTCATTTGAAAATTTGCCTGTCAGCCCAGTGGTGGGAACATTGTGGGAGAAAGAGAATGTATTGTTGAAGGCTTTCATGGCCGGAATCACTGGGTTGTTGTAGGTTTTTTCGGGCTATATGGCCATGGTCTAGAGGCATTCTCTCCTGACGTTTCACCTGCATCTATGGCAAGCATCCTCAGAGGTAGTGAGGTCTGTTGGAACTAGGAAAAAGGGTTTATATATCTGTGGAATGACCAGGATGAGACAAAGGACTCTTGAACTCAACAGGTTCCTGGGTCATCTCAACAGCATCCACCCAAACATCCAGTTCAACATGGAAAAAGAAAATGAAGGAAGTCTGCCTTTTCTAGATGTCCTAGTCATCCGCAAACCAGATCAACAATTGGGTCACACCGTCTACAGAAAACCCACACACACAGATAGATATCTACATAAAAACTCCAACCATCACCCAAGTCAAAAAAGAAGCACCATTAAAGCCTTGGCAGACCGTGCAAAAAGAATCTGCGAACCCCACCTCCTCCAAGATGAACTGAACCACCTCAACTGGGCTCTCCAGGCCAATGGAGACTCCACCTCAGACATCAGAAGAGCTGCAAGACCAAGAACAAGCCATGAGAGTCAAGATGAAGATCCACCCAGAGGAAAAGTGTTCTTGCCATACATCAAGGGAACCACTGACCGCAGAGGGAAGCTGATGAGGAAACACAACATACAAACTATCTACAGACCCACCAAGAAAATCCAACAAATGCTACATTCAGCAAAGGACAAGAGGGATCCTCTCATTTCTGTGGGAGTCTGCCATGTACCATGCAGCTGTGGACAAGTCTCCAGAGGGACCACCAAACGCAGCAGCATGGCCCAAACACGAATCCAGGAACATGAAAGGCACTGCAGACTACTTCAACCAGAGAAGTCAGCCATAGCAGAGCACCTGATGAACCAACCTGGACACAGCATATTATTTGAGAACACAGAAATGCTGGACCACTCTTACAACCACCATGTCAGACTACACAGAGAAGCCATTGAAATACACAAGCATGTGGACAATTTCAACAGAAAGGAACAAAATCTGGCTACCAGTATTAAAAATCTCTAAAATTGCAACAGCACAACAACAGAGAGGAAACAAGCACTACATCTAATCACCTCTCAACAAAATTTTGCTCCAGTTACTCAGGCCATTGCATGCTAATCAAGGTGGTCAGTTGAAACATTCACACCTAGCTCCAGCAGACAAGAGTCCTTTTTCTCACCCTGGTCATTCCACAGATATAAAAACCCTTTTTCCTTGTTCCAACAGACCTCACTACCTCTGAGGATGCTTGCCATAGATGCAGGCGAAACGTCAGGAGAGAATGCCTCTAGACCATAGCCATATAGCCCAAAAAAACCTACAACAACCCAGTGATTCCGGCCATGAAAGCCTTCGACAATATATGGGGAAGCTCTTTGGATAACGCAATACTGTTAAACAAAGACTGGAGACCTAGATGTTTTCCTTATTACTCATTCCCAGTGGTGGGAACATTGTGGGAGAAAGAGAATGGGCTGACATCTTCCTGAAGCCGATTGATAGCTTCTACCCTGTGAAAGCAGAGGCATTCTTAATCATAGTTAGTGCAGGCTCTCAAACCGAGTTAGAATGAAAATTCCTCCCATACAGCTTCTCCCCAAGTTGTGTTTATTTTTAGTATTCTTTGCTCAGGCAAAGCAGATAATTACCCTTTAAAAGTTCAATCGCTATTACAATTAGCTATGCTTTTTGAACGGCGCCGGAGTCGTTCTATTTTTGCTCCTCCGGTGCATCCTTGTGCTTAAGTCCTGGGAGTTGTGGCGGGATTTATTTCTCAGTGTCCACTGCTCGATGTGCCCGCAGTCCTGGAAGAGTTAGGTGAGTCATATGTTCAGCCTGTATTATTACTGCAGATAACATAATTCATAGTAATAATTGGCATGACTTTTACCCTCGCAGGCCCGCTGAGAAATTAAGCATCGCCTGGAAGAGGAATGGAATCAAAATAACCAGTGGAGTTAGCACTTTTGGGAGACGTCTTTCTATTGCCAACCCAACCTCTGCTGACATTGGGATGTACGTCTGCGAGGCGCAGTTGAGAGACAGCCCTGTTGCGCCAGAGAGAGCAAAGGCTTTCCTGTCTATCCTGGGTAAGGCGGCTTTCTCATAACGCGAGCCTTGAACCAAAGTACAATAGGAAATAGAAGTGGTTGTTTTAATATTCCCCTGACCTCCGAGTTGAACTTCTCTGCTGCAAATAGAACAAAGTGGGTGAAGTAGGACTATCTTCAAAATTAATTCAGCTGTTTCTCTTTATGAATACCAATCCATCAAGTGTATTATTTTTCCTGACGTTGGTGTTATGCAGAATACTTTGTGAATCTGAAACTGTGATCATGAAACTGGAAGAAACGTACTTGGTAAAATATTAATCAGTCAGCTCATATGTCATACTTTCAAGCTGTATCAATCCAATACTCATTGTTATCACATTCATGGGGAAGATTTTGGAAATGTCTTTGTGCGTATACAGTGGGCCCTCCATATTCACTGGGGTTAGAGCGCATGAACCCTTGAAAAGTGAAAAACCACAAATAAGCATTTTTAAAAATCTGTGGGAACATCCCTCTAGTAATTGCTAGGTCCTCTAGCATGATCCGGATCAGCTTCAACCAGAATTGGACCAAAGAATCATGCTGGAGTATCTAGAGATTTCTGCAGAGAAAATAGTAATAAAATCAGTGAAAGCTGCAAAAGTCAAAGCCACAAAATGTGTGGTTACTTGCATTTTATCCTATTTTAAAGAGTGGTGCCTTTTATTCTCAAAGCATGATCATATATATGCATGCATAATGCAGCTGGAGATTGTAAACAGTAAGGGCAGAAAGAAATTAACAGTTCATTGAAAATCATGGAAGGTCAGTCTAAAATAAAAGAATGATCTTACAGATAACTTTTGATTCTCCGTGCTTATAGTTTTATGTAGGAACTGGCTCAGTGAGTTAAACCGCTGTAGAATTTCCGGAAGGTCGGTGGTTCAAATCTGTGGACAGGGTGAGCTCCTGCTGTTAGCCCCAGCTTCTGCCAACTTAAGGTAAAGAAGAGAAGACTGAGGAGATATGATAGCCATATATACATATGTGAGAGGAAGTCACAGGGAGGAGGGAGCAAGCTTGTTTTCTGCTTCCCTGGAGACTAGGACGCGAAACAGTGGCTTCAAACTACAAGAGAGGAGATTCCATCTGAACATGAGGAAGAACTTCCTGACTGTGAGAGCCGTTCAGCAGTGGAACTCTCTGCCCCGGAGTGTGGTGGAGGCTCCTTCTTTGGAAGCTTTTAAACAGAGGCTGGGTGGCCATCTGTCAGGGGTGATTTGAATGCAATATTCCTTCTTCTTGGCAGAATGGGGTTGGACTGGATGGCCCATGAGGTCTCTTCCAACTCTTTGATTCTATGATTCTAAGATTTCCCCTTGACATTAAGTCTAGTCATGTCCGACTCTGGGAGATGGTACTCATCTTCATTGCTAAGCCGAAGGGCCAATATTGTTCTCAGACACCTCCAAGGTCATATGGCCAGTATAACTGCATGGAGTGCCATTACCTTCCCTCCGAAGTGGTACCTATTGATCTACTCATATTTGCATGTTTTTGAACGGCTAGGTTGGCAGAATCTGGGGTTAACATTGGGAGTTCACCCAACTCCCTGGATTCTGACCTTTCAGTCAGCAAATTTATCAGCTCAGCAGTTTAACCCACTTCACCACCGGGGACTCCTATTCTGCCAACCTAGCAGTTCAAAAACATGAAAATGTGAGTACATCAATAGGTTCCACTCCAATGGGAAGGTAACGGTGCTCCATGCAGTCATGCTGGCCACATGACCTTTGACATGTCTATGGACAGCACCGGCTCTTCTGCTTAGAAATGGAGATAAGCACCACCCCCCCAGAGTCGGACTTGACTAGACTTAATGTCAAGGGAAAACCTTTATTTTTACTATAGACAGTGATAGATAGATAAAATACTGTAAATAAATAAATACTGTAAATAAATAAATAAATACTGTAAATAAATAAATATTTATTTACAAGTTTTTTTTATATTCCGCCCTTCTCACGCCGCAGGGAACTCTGGGCGGATTACAGTGTACACATATATGGCAAACATTCAATGCCAATTTTTGACCAACATATACAGACATACACAGAGGCTATTTAACTTTTTCTGGCCACCAGGGGAGCTGTCGCTTTCATCATCCATCTGAGACACTGATGAAGCACTTCCGCATTCCCTGCATGCTTCCCCGCTGGAATGCTTTGCTGGAGTCTTCTTTATGGCCTCATAAATCGGTTAATTTAGCCTCCCCACACTTTAAGGTGGTACCTAATTTTCCTACTTGACAGATGCAGCTGTCTTTCGGGTTGCAAAGGTCGACAACAGGCTACACAATTGGTTGGAAACCCACTCCAACCCGGGCTGGCTTCGAACTCATGACCTTTTGGTCAGAGTGATCTTAATGCAGCTGACACTCAGCCAGCTGCGCCACAATCCTGGTACAGCTGTCCTGGTTTGACAGACACAGCCCTGATTAATTCTCTTCTGTCCCACTTGTTCAGCTGCTTTTAAAGTGTCCCAGTTTCTCTCCCCTCCTCCCTCCCCCTCTCCCCTACCATTCATCTATTTACTGCAATTGCTGCAACACCCTCATGTTGCTCATATACATTTCCCCAATTTTTATTTTGTGAAATGTTGGGGAAGGAAGGTGGCAATCATTTTAATTAACATTCGGAAAATAGTTGGTGTTGATCAGCTGGATGTGTTGGTAGTCAAAGATTTGCTGTTTTGCCTCTCTCCCTTTCTCCTCCTTCTAATTAGTGCTGTAAGTTTGTCAAGCTGCTAGATAGAAGTTGGATGGAGTATCTTTTGTTTCTGTGTGTGTGTCCTACAAGGAGCCCCACAATGAAGCCATTGTGAGTCAGAGCTGAAAGGAGATGAGCTCCATTGTCTTGCGCCTTGACAGTTCACCTCCACGGTCTCTCTTGTAGAGCAACTGCACGAACCATTTATTCACAGTGGCATTTTGTACATGTTGTGTTTTAAACTTCTGGCTGTAATGTGGGTTTCTTCTTCATAGTCACTGTATCTCAAATGCAGAGTTTCGAAGCCTGCAGAGAGCTAGGAACAAAACATCTCAAGTCGAGACTTTTAATGATAACCAAGCCAGCCTCCTCCTGCCATCGTGGATGCGCAGACACTGCCAGTGATAGGAACTAATTAAAGTCAGAGAAGCTATCGGTTAAGTTTCTAACGTAAGGAGACAATTTAATTTAATTGGCTGCAGCTGGAACTTCGGAATGAAATTATTAATTAATGCAATGAGAGATTGCACTAATAGTCAACATTTCCCCCTACCTATTTCTTTATTAAATGCAAATATTTTTGTGTATTATAATATGATATTTAATTCCAAAGTGGAACAAGTTTAAACCAACGTGGTTGGAACAGCTTGTCAGAGGTTGGGTTACTTGTATCCAGATGTTTTCTACACTGGACACTCCATAGAGGCACCTCATCTGTCACAGGAAACTAAACTTTGAAGCTCTTAACCTTGGCATCTAATTGGGGATCATTAAGACATAGAAAGGGAGAAATTATGGAGAGGAAATTATAACACACAAAGAAGGGGAAAGCAAGCAAAAAAAGGATTGTATTGTGTCCAATTCTGGGCACCACAATTCAAGAGAGGTATATTGACAAGCTGGAATGTGTCCAGAGGAGGGCGACTAAAATGATCAAGGGTCTGGAGAACAAGCCCTATGAGGAGCGGCTTAAGAAGCTGGGCATGTTTAGCCTGAAGAAGAGAAGGCTGAAAGGAGATAGCCATGTATAAATATGTGAGAAGAAGCCACAGGGAGGAGGGAGCAAGCTTGTTTTCTGCTTCCTTGGAGACTAGGACGCGGAACAATGGCTTCAAACTACAAGAGAGGAGATTCCATCTGAACACGAGGAAGAACTTCCTGACTGTGAGAGCCGTTCAGCAGTGGAACTCTCTGCCCCGGAGTGTGGTGGAGGCTCCTTCTTTGGAAGTTTTTAAACAGAGGCTGGATGACCATCTGTCAGGGGTGATTTGAATGCAACATTCCTGCTTCTTGGCAGAATGGGGTTGGACTGGATGGCCCATGAGGTCTCTTCCAACTCTTTGATTCTATGATTCTATGAAAAGGGAGATAGTATGGTACAGTGGCTTGAGTGTGGGACTATGTCTCTGGATGTACACTGGCATATAATGCTGTTTCAGAATGCAGATTAATTGCATTGCTCTGGATTATGTTGCGCAGCAAGCGGATCCTAGCCACATCCCATGCACAAGACTCACAGACACAAATAGGAATGAACAGAAAAATGTTTACTCTTAATAGCAGAGATGAAATACAAACTTGCAATGTTGCATACAAAAAACAAACAGTGCAAGAAACTTACATAGTCTTTGTAAGTAACACAATATAAGGAAGCTTTCTCAAATGAGAAAGTATAACATAAAACCTTGAGCAAACAGCTATTCCACCATAGCCTCCTTTAGAGCAGCATCATGGCTTCTCTCCAACCTGCTCCTCAGAGCAGAGCCTTTGAGCATGGATCTCCTCAGAGAAAAAGCTCTCCAGAACTGTATTCTAAAAACTCATACTGTTCTGGTACAGCTGTACCAGGCGCTCCAATTTTGTTTGCTTTACATTAAATGTTTGTTTGCAGTCCTAGGTTTCAGGGACCCTGCAGATAGGGGGCTCATTTGGTTGCAGTTATAGGGCAAGCCACCTGTCCATCATTAAGTTTTGGTCCCGCCCCTTGCTCAGGGCAATTGGGAAGGGAAGGGAGCCATTTTTTAGTTAGTCTCAGCAAGGTTAGCCAATGTACAGGACGTGTGTAAAGCTTCCCCTGTACAAAAGCTTCAACCCTTAAGAATTTCTAGGGTTACAGAAATTCCAACAGAAACAGAAGGAAAAGTGTCTCCAAATACTTTCCAGGGAAACAGCCCCTAAAGATCAAAGAACTCCAGCTGAAGAGACTACAGGCCTTGCTGGTAGGTCCACTCGGTGCTTTGAGACGCAGTTCAACCCGGTAGTGGTGACCACATCAGTTAGGTTTAAGTTTACAGTCAGCCTGGGAGAAGTTAAAAAGGGGATTTTCCTTTAAAGAAGAAGTTATTGAAGACAGTTGCCTGTCCTTCGTGGGCAAGATTAGGAATTCACCAGTTGCCTAAAAGCTTGGAATCATTTGCTTAACTTTACTGAAGACAAGAGAAGTTTCTGTTTGATTGTTCATTAATAAAAGACTTTGTTGTACTTCTCAAGCCATCTAAAGACTGTTTGTGGTGGAAACCTCTGAGAACTTCTCTTTAGGCCCCCTGGCTTCCCGCTGGGCAAAGGTTGCACGTCCTGTTTTAAAGACAACTATTTACAGGCCCAGTGCACGACAGAACACATAGAGTTATACCCTAGGTGTGACCCAAGATTGCTGGTTGTCCTACATTACCAACTGC